TTTTGGTGTTTGTTAGTGCCGTGTGCAACAGCTGTATAGTAGCGTGTGCAAAACAAAGTTAGCACGTGTAATATGCTAATATGCTGTGTCATAACAAATGTGGTTGGTGTAAGGTGGTCACCAGGTGCCTATAAACCCGCCTTCTGATAACACAATAAAAGGGATGCTTCGTCTTTGTTCGAGGCTCCCATCCCGAGGAAACCACGTGTACGTGTCTGTTCTTCAACACCCATGGGAGACCGCTGGGCGCGAGAAAACCCGCAAATGGTGACCCCGACGTGATTCAAGTTTCTGAGCACGTCTCTGGGTACTGCAACTCAGGGCCGGTCGTCAGCTAGACGAAGCACCCTCCCAAAACTGCAACTCAGGGCCAGTCGTCAGACGCACCCTCCCAAAACTGCAACTCAGGGCCGGTCGTCAGGATAGACGAAGCACCCTCCCAAAATATTACATCTCTTGGTATCCTCTTACTTACTCAGCGGAAGAGCTCACTGCAACTCAGGGCCGGTCGTCAGAGCTAGACGAAGCACCCTCCCAAAACCGTGAGTATGGGGACAGAATTCTCTAAGCCTCAGGTTGCGCACCTCCCAGAACTTAGGGAATTGACCAAGTCATCAATAATTAAATTAGGAAAAACAATGGGAAAGATTTGCTGCTTCCCACTAAAAGGGATTTGATCCTCCTCTTAAAATATGTATATCTAAATTGCCTTGCATAGCCCGAAGGAGGATCCCTAAAAATGTCTGTGTGGGTTAAATTAGGAAAACTGTGACTGTTAACTGTTTCAAATCCAAAGGAAAAAGGATTTTAAAGTCTGCTAGAAATTCTGCTTAAAATAAGCCACAAAAAGGAAAAACCTCACTCTGTTTGTCTGGCCAACAAACAGAGTGAAGAAAAAGAATTGTGTTTGTTTGTTTGTATTCCTCCTTCTCTCTGTGTGTCTATCTACAAGAGCCTTTCGAAACTCAAGTCTGCTTGTGTGGGGAAATAACTTTTTAAAGTTACTTTTCGTATCCTATCACTTATTGGTGATGCTACTATGAAACTTTTCTTATCCCAAATATATAATCATTTCTCAATCTCTAAAACTATGTGGTCTATTTTAGAATAAATGTTCTCCTACCCTTGGCAAGTTGCACACCTTAAAATTTACTTTTTAAAGTTACTTTTCGTATCCTATCACTTATTGGTGATGCTACTATGAAACTTTTCTTATCCCAAATATATAATCATTTCTCAATCTCTAAAACTATGTGGTCTATTTTAGAATAAATGTTCTCCTACCCTTGGCAAGTTGCACACCTTAAAATTTAGGCTTTTAAAATTATTTGGAGTTTTCAGCATTTTCAAACTGCCTGCAAACTACCCCCCTTCCAATTCTTTTCCTGCTCTTTGTTCTCCAAACCTTTTGTCTGCCTCTCCTGGTAGAGTCTGTCCAGAAAAGGGGGGGGAGACCTTGTTCTTGTATCTTTCAGCCATGAAACCCTCTCCCAAGCCTTTGGAAGCACAACACACAGACCCAGATGCTGCCTCCATCCATTTGAGCCATGGGATTGAGTTTGAATCCAGCCATCCACTAAAAAGCCACCATGCATCTTCCCAAGTCCTACCATTTCCCCAGCTGCCTGTGAGAGCTGCAGAAGGAAGGTGGTGCCACGTGAAGCCTCAGAAGAGAAAACTAAGACTGTGGGGGGAGGGTGGAAACTCATTGTAAACTTTTCTTTCTTGCCCCATTTGTATTGTAACAAGCCAGTTGAATGTATTAATGGAGAGATGGGAATATGTGGCAGAACAAATACTGAACATCTTGGACTTCTATCTGGTGGGAGGGAAAACTTTTCCAGAATGTTTGTATTGCCTGTTTTGTAGAAATAGCTGCATATGCACACACACACACCATTCACACCATTCAGAGTCTTTCCCCTCCACCTACCTTTAGTAAAGTTCCCCCCAGGCTGATTTTTGCTCTATTGCACCAAAGCTTTGTGGGACCAACTTCCAACAGATTCCAAGGGGGAGGGAACTAGGCCCCCTCAGGTGATTTGCAATTCATATGCCCTGACTAAGGAAGCAACAGGGAAAATCCCAAACTTCAGCCCTGAATATTTTGCACTGTTGAGCTCAGATTTGAATTCCTAGAACTCATTACGTGCAATTTAAAGAAAATTTAATAGACTGGCATATTGGACATTACAAACCTGGATGCACTGAATTAAGAGCTAAGGCAGGAAACAACCCTTGAAATTGGGCAGCCAGTGGTCATGTAATAAGGAAAACCATGGCTGTGAAGAATTTTGGGAGGTATACAAACCTGACTGGAAGCTAAAGGTGACATCCAGCATTTGAAAATGATTGGCACAGAATATTGGATACTATAAATTTCTTTTCCACCTAACAAAATTTTGCCCTGACTTTTAGAACTTTATGGGTTGCAAGCTCCCCTTTTGGGAGCCACTAAAGGGATCCTTTTCTGCTGCCTCCATTAATGTCTTTTTCTTTTTTTGCTTAACAGTTTAAAAGCTTGCCTACCAAGTCTCCCTGACCAGATCAATTTTAATGTCATATATTTACACACTTAAGGCACAAAGTGGGGATATTGATGGAAGTTAGCCCCCCCAGAAGGAAATATTAAAAAGGGCAGAAAAATATATTTTTCCTCAAAAGGACTTTTTAAAAACCAAACCTGGCCCCAAATCTATCTGCCCCAAACAAGAGCTAGGCCCATACAGATGCAAATGTAACACCATCAGAAAGTTGGAGCCAGAGCAATCAAGAAGACAAAAGAGAAGATCTGCATACCCCACCCAAACTCTAAGAGTCAGCCCCATCGCCTGGGAAGCAGGATATGATAATGCAATTTCCTGAAGAACCATCTTTCTGCAATAAACTGTAATCTTCAGGAACTGTCACCCACCAACAGGTCAATTTAGTAACTACACCTATCACTGCAGTTCAGTTACCCTTGCTAACCAAACCAGCCTTCACTTTGCCAAGCGACACTGAGGATGACTTCCTATAAAGCGCAACCTCCTTATTTTTTAAATAAAACAGAAAAGTAGGAGATGTTGGAATTATTGGGTTATCTGGCCTGTTAGGCTGAGTCATCAGCTGCAGTAGGCCAAGGTATGCGGAAGTCAGAAGAGAAAATAGATTGGCGTAAACAAGTTTGTGCCGTGCGGTGCAAGGGAATGTTGTTTTGGTGTTTGTTAGTGCCGTGTGCAACAGCTGTATAGTAGCGTGTGCAAAACAAAGTTGGCACGTGTAATATGCTAATATGCTGTGTCATAACAAATGTGGTTGGTGTAAGGTGGTCACCAGGTGCCTATAAACCCGCCTTCTGATAACACAATAAAAGGGATGCTTCGTCTTTGTTCGAGGCTCCCATCCCGAGGAAACCACGTGTACGTGTCTGTTCTTCAACACCCATGGGAGACCGCTGGGCGCGAGAAAACCCGCAAGAAAGTTCCTGCCTAGCTTGTTGTTTTGTAATTTGTAATTCATATCAGCAAGCATTAGGCTATTTATCTGAAAGGCTGTAGCTTCATAGACTCATTTTCCAAGGAATCTGTTTAGAATCTTTATATATATATTGCACACCAATTCTGTATATTTCTATTTGAAATATTTCTATATCATGCAATCCAGCTCTTTTAAAGTCAATAAGTGTGATGCAATTCATTTCAAGTAAAAACTTATATTTATTTTTAAATCATAATCATAAAAACATTATCTCCTATCTCTCAAAATCTAATTGGAGTCCCCTGAGCTTCTTGTGTTCAGGTAGGAATGCAGTGTGATCCTTTATACTTTTATTCAAAGTTAATCTAATATTTGCTACTTTGAATATATACACAATTAATTTTGTGTGTTTGTGTGTGTGTGTGTGAATCCAATAAAGAATATTCCCATTCCTACTTAGAATAAAAGATCCAAGACACAGTCATGCAATATGGGTTTTGCACCTTCTTTTCTTCGATATCTGTGTTTATTTTGGAAAGCTAGGCAGCTCCACAATTTCCAGATGCATTCCTGCCTATGCTGATTGCCGTTTACTTTTAAATTTTAATATATTTTTTAAACATTATCTAATTGTTGTAAACCACACAGAGAAATTTGGTTGAGATGAATGGCCATATAAATCTAAGAAATATAAATGAGTAAAAATTAAATAAAAGGGTATTTTTATATTTTACAATAAACCCCCTATGGCCAGTTTCTCAAACCAAACTGATGCTTCCCAGTTGGTATGTAGTGCAGGGCCTACCATTTTATTTCATTGTCAATACCATCTTCAGCATGTTACAGGGGATAATGGGCTCTGTCACCCAAGGCACTGGATACCATCACATTGTGGAAAGACTGATCTAGGTATGTGGCCTGACTTGGCTATTCCTCCCTGCCCAGAATGCTGTCTCTGCTCAGTCAGTTCTCTGGTTTGCATACCTGAAAACTGAGCCCAATATTAAATAGCTTTCTTCCAAGGGGAAATTATCTGAGCTGACTTAAATCCAGATGGAAAGATGCATCATCATCAACAACAACGATGAGAATGATTAATAGCAACAACTAGAACAGTCTGCTGAAACAATTTGTATTGTGCTAGATCTTAATAAATAAAATTTATTTATTTATGGTGGAATCCTTTCAAAGATATCACATTCCTCTAGCATAAACTGCTTTTTCACGCATGATTCGTTTAGAATAAAAGGAGCCAAGAATCAATACAAATGCCTCCTCCTCCTCCTCCTGAATAGCTTGTTTGCATTCTAACCATAATTAAGCTTGTCTGTTTTGATAATATTGGTGCTTAAACCCAAGTCCCATTGTTGGTCTGCGAATGAAGGTCTACCTAGAAGGTGTTCTGACTGGGTGAATTGCAAAGTAACTGAAATTTCAAACAGGTAATTAAACACCTTAGAAAACCCAGGGAGATTTTATTTCTGCAGTCTGCTTTAAACTGGGTCCTGAGGTCTACAGGCACAAGTAGAGGAGGTTAGAAGCCAAGCCTTCACCCCTTGTTTTCAGAGAAGGCCAATTGAACGGATTTCGGGTGTTGCGACACAACTAACTTTTCGAGACTGTAGCAAAGTGAGGAGCAGTGGAAACAGGGTGTTTTAGTCCCTGCGAGAAAAATGAGAAAACTCCCCAGACGCTGCTATTCCCAGCTACCCCCACTTAATAGCAGCAGCAGAAAGCAGCGTCGTCGAAGGAAAGTCCATGGGGCTTGTCCTCCTTCTGCAAAATTGTTTAACCAATCCTTGTATCAAGCTCCAAATTCTAGAGGGATTTCAGGCCCCTCTACCGACAGATCCTTCCGCGCGTGGTTTTAGGCAAGAAAAAGACATACAGAATCAAAGGTATCTTGAGCCTAAGTTAAGAATAGCCCTTTCTTATGCTAGAATTCGACCCGTGCTACTTGTAAAGAGCAGATAAATAGAAGTGAAGGCTTAATGAGCAATAGAAGGACACACACGCAAACACAGATCCAGAACCAAGCCTGAACTCCTGGCGATTGGGAATTGGGTGGGCTCTGGCTTTTCCAGGCTTCCAGGCTTATTTCTTATCAGACAACTGGCCGCCTTTGGCTTTTTCCTCCCCCGCTTCTTTTTTTTTTTTTTTTTTTTGAGGAGTGCTTGTTTTCAGTTGTGACCCTGGGCTGGTTCGCCAAGTCTCCTGTTGGGAGCAGTTAGTTGTGGCTGCGTTAGCTGGGCAGGACCTCCCAAGCGTCAACGAACGGGGGACCCTGCACAGCGTTAAAATCTCGTTGCTGGAAGCCGGCGTCGACGGGCTCCGCGGTGGCCGCGGGGGGGGGGGGCAGAGGCGTAAACAAAGTGGAGCCTTCCTCACTGCCCACCAATCCTCAGTGGAGAGATTTCCCCTCTCAGCTCGCCTCTGCAAACTCGCGTTTGGGAGATCGCTTTTCCAGAAAAGTTCGCCAGTTTAGGTTTCTCTGCCCCGTCATGAACGGCGTGCTGAGGGATTGCCTGTTTGAACAAATGCTGGTAACCTACGTGAACATTTCTTTTTCTTTTCGTCTCCCCTCCACCATCTAGTTTTCTTTGCTAGATTTCCTTTTTGAGAAAGCTTTTGGCCAGGGCTCGCGTCTTCAACGAGGCTCTTCCTTCCTTCTTTCTCTTTCAGGTAAATTTCCTTTCAAATCCGCTTTTTGAGATGGAGAATTTTCAGGATGAGGAGACTGCTAACTCAGCAGATGAAGAAGTACAGAACGAGTCACCTCAATAAGTTCCTCCCGGGGATATTCACGGCTATTGTGGCAGCCCAAGAACGCACCGAGCAAAGCTGTTTCCTTCAGAAAGAAACGTGCCCGCGAATGACACGGCCCCACTGCAAACAGCCCAGACATTCGTCTGAACTCGTTTGGGCTGGTTTCGGAGTAATCGAGCTCCGGGACACAGGATAGGACTCTGCTGTCGACCCTGCCGTCCCTTGGCTCTGCCAGCCACGGGGTTTGAGGGCCTGAGACCAGAAGCTACCTTCCCGTAACCTTCAACTTACCAAGGGCGTTGAGCGACTAATCGGGAGGCAGTTCTATATTCAAATGGCTACAGCACTAAGAGGAGCCTGGAGCCTGGAGAGGTGCTTTGAAATCCCCTCAACTTCAAGCTCTGCTGGTATTTAGTCCAAACTCTAGGGGAGGTTTAAAGGGTGTCGGATTATTTCAAGGCGGGCTTGGGATCCACTTTCCGTGCTGTTCAAGCATCTTTCCGAAATAAGGATTCTGCTAATCGTCCCGTCTTGCTTGCAAGAAAAAGGATTTTTCTCAACCCTCTTTACCCTCTGGCAATTTTCATGGTTTCTTTCGACCAGTTCAGTCGAAGAAACCTACCAGCCGCTTTACAGATGGTTGTAAATAAATTCCACTCTGCAACCAGGCAGAAAAACGGGTGAGTTTCGTAGAGCAGACGAATTTCTCAAAATTATCAAAGGAGATTATCCTTTTGTCCTTCCCCAACTTTCTTTTTTGAGTCTTTGAAACGGTTTGACACAGCCCCGGCTGGGGATTATGGGAGCTGGAAATCCCATAGATTTCAGAAATACTCTTCCCATTAAAGAGATAGTTGACTTTTACATAGACTCTCTACTCATTGGTGGTCTTTGGGGCTTCCCGGCTGCATGCAACATTTGGATAGATAAGGAAGAGGGTTTGGCATATGCAAAGACCGCACCGCAAGCCTTGCGCTTTTTCAAAGTTATTTCAGCTGTACCGTTCTTGATTTATACGAGGTGCTGTGCGTGGAAGATTTCATTAACGATTCAGAAATCTATGTGCAGAATCAATCCTATGCAGGCTGACTCAGTAACAGTGCAGTGGGATTGAATTCCAAAAGGAGGGGTAAGTCTGCAATTGCTACCTTAGGGTGTTTCAGTAAATAGTGCATGATGTTATCAAAAGGCGACCACAGTCTATATAAAACGTCTTTATTTCTAAATAAAAGAACTGATTTTAAGTTCTTTTAAGCAAACTATTTTGTAGTGCTATTTTTGAACTTCCAGTCAGATATTCATTGAGTTTTTCTTTTCTCAAATTGTTGGCTTGTTGTTTTACTATATAAATTTATCTGTTTATTTAGAGATCATTTAAAGGCATGAATGAGACTTACCCATCAAAACTGATCAATTGAGACAAAGATGGTCCTGTTGGAAGGTTTCTTTTAGATCCTGTGAAGGAGAATTATTGAAGTAAATATCTTGCCTTTTCCCAAAACTTCCAAATAATCTCTACCTGCTGAAATAATTTAGTTTTAAGTGGATTTTTGCAAGATATTTAAAATAAGGAAGCAAACCCCTTAAAACATTTCTTCTGTTAGGACTGTGGAGAACTACAAAACAACACCATCCTTTATTCACCAATCCTTTGATTTAAAACCTAATTTTGATATGCAATATAGGGCAAAGTAGAAATATTAAACAAATTGAATTGGAAGAAGATCCCAGAAACACCTGAAAGCCAATGAATCAAAGACGGTGAAATGCTTAAGTCGTAAACACTCAGAAATACCATACAGACTTAGGAGGAGTTGAATTAATGGAAATGCAGTTGAGATCTGAATCACTATACAAACCTTTGGGGTTTCATTGATCAAAAAACTAACCATCTAGTATAACTCAAGGAAAGATTCACACAGTCCTCCCTTTTATTACCTCTGAACTAAATTAATTTGAAAGGAAATCATTAAAACTTTATGAGTTTATTAAAAAAAAACTTATTCTGGCACATATTCTTTGAAAAATCAGTAGGATTACTATATTTTGTAAATAGTAAAGAATTGATCGGAATGAGTCCAAGTTGGGATATAGGAGATATAATAATGAACATTTTATTTTCTTACCATGTGTGGAGTAAAAAATATTTTTGGAAGTATTTAAAAAGGTTGAGAATTTGAGAGACAGAGACCATAAAGGACACTGTTTTGTAGCAGTGAGGTGAGGAAGGATGAAATGTTTTTCTTTCTAAATTATGTATCTCACCTCGTCCAAAATCATTTAACAAGAATCTCTCCAATTTAGAATTAAATGTTGGAAGTTACATTCAGCTGCCCCTTTTGGTTTAATTCTGAAATTCCTAGCTGAACTTCTAAACTGGAATCCAAACTATGCCACTCCAGCCTCCAGGTGGCTTGTGAAACAGGGCCAGGCAAAGAAGGAACCAGCTTCAGAAGGGGACAGAAGGAAGGGAAGGTAGAGCTTCTGGTTTCTCACCACTTACACCTGAAAGAAGGTTCTACCCAACTGCAATTGCAAACAGAACACTTCCAGTGTGTGATGGTTGAGAAAGTCTCTGGAAATTTTCCTATATCCTAAATATCCCTAATGGAGGTCAGGGCCCATTTGTTTAAAGCAACTTGTGTCCAATAAGACCAAATGGAGTTGGAGCCTCATTGGATGGTGAGCAGGGAGACCTGCAGCCATCCAACTATGGATATATTACAGCAGTCCCAAACAGCGTGCTCAGTGGTGAGAGTTAATGACCAGCAGTTTTTAGTACTTCTATTGCCTAGACCAGGGGTCTGCAACCTTGACAACTTTAAGACTTGTGGACTTCAACTCCCAGCTATGCTGGCTGAGGAATTCTGGGAGCTAAAGTCCACAAGAGGTCTGCAACCTCTGGCCTAGACAATAAAGAACAGGGAATTAGGTTATATGATAGTTCTCAACTTATAACTATAATTGGGAACAGAATTTCTGTTGCTATACAAGGCAGTTGTTAAGTGAGTTACACCTGATTTTATAACCTTTTATTTGTTTGGTTGTTAAGCAAATCATCACAGTTGTTAAGTGAATCATGTGTTCATTAAGCAAATCCCATTGAATTTGCTTGATGGAAGCTGGCTGGGAAGGTCACAAATGGCAATCATGTGACACTCCCCACCCCCACCCCCGGGCTCTGCAACCATTACAAATACATACCTGTTGTCAAGTGCTCAAATTTTGACCACATAACTATGGGGATTCAGCAAGTATTGCAAGTCAAGGATAGGTCATAAGTCACTTTTTCCAGTGCTGTTGTAACTTCAGATGGTCACTAAGCAAATGGTTGTAAGTCAAGGAGTAAGTGTACCTTATATTTTTGGTTACTTTATTGTCAACTCTCTCTCTCTCTCGCCTAACATTAATATTTCAGCATCACTTGGTTGTGTGCCAGGCCTGGGCCCCAAGTGTGAGAAGGACCCCATTTTCTGGCTATATTAACATTCCATAGTAACAGTTTTATGTATACTCTTTTAGTTGTTTTTATATGCTTTATGGCAGGGGTTTTCAAACTTGGCCCTTTTATGACTTGTGGACTTCAACTCCCAGAATTCCTCAGCCAGCGTTGCTGGCTGAGGAATTCTGGGAGTTGAAGTCCACAAGTCATAAAAGGGCCAAGTTTGAAGACCCCTGCTTTATGATATATGCAGTCCAGGGTCACTATACAGAATAATAGAGTTGGAAGGGACCTTGAAGGTCATCTAGTCCAATTGCTGCTCAAGCAGGAGACCCTATACCAGAGTTGGAAGGGACCTTGAAGGTCATCTAGTCCAATTGCTGCTCAAGCAGGAGACCCTATACCATTTCAGGCAAGTGGCTTTTCTTAAAAGACTCCAGTAATGAAGCACCCACAACTTCTGAAGGCAAGCTCTTCTACTGGTTAATTGTTCTCACTGTCAGGAAGTTTCTCCTCAGCTCTAGGTTGCTTCTGTCCTTGATTGTTCCTTGTTTTTTAGTGCTTTGACCCCTTTCTTCAGATGAGCTCAGATGAGTGGCTATAGAAATCAATCAAATAAATAAATAAATTCAGTCTTAGTCCCTAAGGAAGAATATCCAAATCAACCCCTTTCCTGAATATATGAATATCTTAATGCAATGGTGGCGAACCTATGGCACTCAGAGCCCTCTCTGTGGGTGTGTGCACCGTCGCCCCAGTCCTAGGCCTTCAGCCGGGCTTTATAAAACCTTTTCGCTTTAGGCCTCCGCCACCGTGTACAAAAAAAAAAGTTTCAATCAATCAGTCAATTTCAACTTCTCGTGGGGAAAAAAAATCTTGTAAAGTTGGAATTAATTGATTGAACTTTTTAGTCCCACCCAATCTGCTGTTACCACCACAGCCACGCCCAGCCAATGCGCCACACCCACCTGGCATCCAACGATGCATAAGTGGGTTTTGGGTTGCAATTTGGGCACTCGGTCTCTAAAAGGTTTGCCATCACTGGCTTAATGTATTCTTTTGGAAAGCTTAATGCTTTCTTATTTTTGGCAGAGCCAGAAAGCCTGACACCTTAATTTCCAAAATAACTTTTTTTTCTTCAATAAACAGGAAGCCCCATCAGATCCACGGCACATACAGCCTGATTTGGGACCAGTGCACTGTTGCATCCACTGTGTCTGCTTTGGACTGGAGCTTCACCTATAGGGATCAGAAGGAATTACCTTTGGCAAACTCCACCAAGGATTCTGTGCTTCAGACTTCTCTCCCTTCTTTCTCTTCCACTCCCCCCTTTATGAGATTATGTTGCTTAGCAAATTTTATCAGAATGATTTTTAGGTGTGGTCATTGGGGCCATTATTGTAACTGACAATCACACTGATTTTATATTTAGTAATCTTAATTTTATTTCCACAGCTCTGTTGGCTCCTTATCCCTAAGCAATCCAGTATCATCTGAGGGTGATGGGAAAGTAATAATTTCTTAAATCAACTAAAAAATCTGCACAACAGCTGCAAGAGTTAGAATTTCCAAAGAATTTGCCCCAGACTATTACCTAGTCTTTAGACCAACTTTTTCTATCTGTCCTTTACTGAAACTGAGATAAAATTAATGACCTCTGCTCACCTAATAGGCAGTATACTTTCCCTGTTTCATAGACATATTTTTACCTAGCACCAATTATAGAGGCAAATGATCATAACTGGTGAATAAATTACTTTCTTTATGCCCTAGCTGCTGCTGCTTCTTCTTCTTCTTCTTCTTCTTCTTCTTCTTCTTCTTCTTCTTCTTCTTCTTCTTCTTCTTCTTCTTCTTCTTCTTCTTCTTCTTCTTCTTCTTCTTCTTTCTTCTTCTTCTTCTTCTTCTTCTTCTTCTTCTTCCTATACCTTCCAGAGGTGTTTGATCTACCAGTCAAAATAGATTATAAAGCAAAGCACTAATTCAAATAAAGTATATGAAGAAATGAATTTAAAAATACAGAGATGCAATATATATATTGTGAATCATTCTCTAAACCAGTGGTTCTCAACCTGTGGGTCGGGATCCCATTTGGGGTCGAACGACCATTTCACGGGGGTCGCCAAACAAGGCTGTCCGCCATTTTTTCCTCCTTTTCTTTGGCCATGCCCCTGGCACCTGGTGATGTATAAGTGGTTGGGGGTCACCACAACATGGGGAACTGTATTATGGGGTCGCGGCATTAGAAATGTTGAGAACCACTGCTCTAAACACTTGAGTGGCTTTCTGATCAAAAAATAAGAATTCAAAGTTAGTGGAAATTTATGAAACAAACATTCCTGATTCAAAGTTGGCTAAAAAGAGTTCCTTGTAAAATTCACCCTCCAGCTAACTGAATCTTGGGATTTAAAACTATTCACAAGAGCAAAATGAATGTTTTGCCAAAGTTTCTTTTTTTATTTCAAATGATACCTATTTTAAAGAATGAGGTTAACTTAAATGAATGGCAGAAAGGTATTAACAAATTTATCTGGGCAGGGAAAAAACCAAGAGTAAAACTTAAAATTATACAGGATATTCGTGAGAGAGGTGGACTCAAGGTACCGAATTTGAAATTGTATTATGATGCTGTGGTTTTAACATTAATAAGTGATTGGATTAATTTAACAAATGTAGAAATACTCCTCTTGGAGGGTTGGGATTTACTTTTTGGATGGCATGCCTATTTAATTTTTAATAAAAAGGTTGATAGGGTTTTTAAATCTCATATTATAAGGATTTCCTTACTTCGGGTCTGGAGGAAATATTATAGAAGTGATTTTAAAATTCCACTATGGGCTATACCGGGGCATGCGATAGAAGGGATAAGGAGAGGAGTCAAGATGGATAGTGTTTTTTATGCACAACTACTTAGATGGGATGGTAAAAATTGGCAATTAAAATCCTTGGAAGATTTAATACATGAAAATATTATTTATTCATGGTTTCATTATAGACAAATAGTGGAGAGGTGGAAGATAGATCGTAATGTGGGTTTACTTAGAGAAGATGAGAATTTATTAAAACAAATAAAAGATTAAAGACGAACCCATATTAAGAGAATTTATGGGGTGTTAGTAGAATTGGATTCAGAAGCAGAATTAGTCAAAGAATGTATGGTCAAATGGGCACAAAATTTTGAAGAACCAGTTCTATTAGATATTTGGGAAATTATTTGGGTGAGGAATGTTAAATTTACACAAGCCCAAAATTTAAGGGAAAATTTTTATAAAATGTTTTATAGATGGCACCTTGATCCACAAAAAATGTCTCGTATGTATCCTGACTTACAGCCTAAATGTTGGAGATGTGGATGTTTGGATGCTACTTATTATCATATCTGGTGGTCATGTAAAAATATAAAAGCTTTTTGGATTAAGATATGGTGGAATATCCAAAGAATTTTCAGAAGAAGGGTAAAATTTACCCCACAATTGTTTTTGTTAGGTATTGTTTCTGATTGTAATACTAAAGAGACTACATTGATGTTAAATTTAATTACAGCAGCAAGGTTGTTAGTAGGGCAATGTTGGAAGAAGGAATCTTTGCCTACCTTGCAAGAGTGGTTTTTTAAAGTTTCTTATTTGGCGGAAATGGCAAAGATTTCAGCTTTCTTGAAAGACCAATCGCAAGAGAAGTATTTTTTGGTATGGAAAAAATGGATAGACTTTATACAATATAAGTTGGATATAAAAAAATATTATTTAGCTTTTCAATAACTTATATTTAAAACGTAAGATATTTTATAGACTTTATAGACTTTTTTTCCTCTTTTTTTCTTTTTATTTCTTTTCTTTTTCTTTCTTCCTATTTTCTTGTATTTCCTTGTATTTTTGTTTTTTTATACATATATTATTGCTAACTATTTTACAATTTGTTTAATTAATGTATTTAGACTTGTTTATGGTTTATATTTGTTTTAAGACTTTTTGAAAATTTTTTAATTAAGCCTGTATTCAGCTCTGGGAAGGTCGGGGGAGGGTTGGGGGGGGTTCGGGGAAGGGAATTGTATTGTTTTGTAAAATCTAAAAATTTTCAATAAAAAAAAAAAGTTAGTGGAAATTTATGAAACAAACATTCCTGATTCAAAGTTGGCTAAAAAGAGTTCCTTGTAAAATTCACCCTCCAGCTAACTGAATCTTGGGATTTAAAACTATTCACAAGAGCAAACACATTTAGTTAAATGCTAAGTTCTTTCATGTCTGAAGTAACTTCAGTGAACTGATTAAAGATTGTGCTGGCCTAAAGAATCAATTATTTGAATCTATCAAATGATGGAATAACAATTCAACAACAACAACAAAAACAACAAAAATAGAAGTAGGAAGATATGGCATATTAATACTGGTAATTTTGGAATTGGCTACAAGGTGTCTCTTGAAGTTCATTGTGTGAAATCAAATAAAACAAAACAGCCTCAGGTTTCCTGCTGACATCTTACAATTTATGCTGTTTCACAAATGGTTGATCTTTTGAAACCCAATATTTAAATCTGTCATTCTAGATTATTTGGAAACATCTAAAGTCATTGGATATCTGAGCCCTTTTTATATCCCTAGATATAGTTTTGCTCAATCCATAAAATATTTAGATTTATTTACCCAGATTGGAAATCTAATACCTGGTCCTTTAAGGGTTGAAAGAGACTTTTTGTGACATAAATTCTGTGTGTACTGTTGGCTACACTCTTATCCAATATATAGAGTGCAATATTAAGAGGAAGTTAAAAATAAATGCAATCATAAACATAGAATGAAGGATATGACTGATGTATAAGCAATGCCTGTGAAACAAAGTTTTTGGAATTGTAAGTTTATTTAATGCTAAATAGGAGCCAGAAGTATTGCCTGATTTAAAATGGTATTTGCAGTTTTAGTTGCGTAAATCAAAGCGTAATTTTCAAATTAAGGGAACTAATTTTCTGCTTCATTCTGCTTTGGTCAGATCTCACCTGGAGTGCTGTAGGGTATCATTGTGGAAGAATGCTAGAAACATAGCATTTTTAGAATCATTTGGAGAAGACATTTGAACAGGTGCAGAAAAACTAGCAATGGCTGGAAAACTGAGAATGGAGGCATTTAAGAGATGACAAGAGATGTCAAGAGAGTATATATGTACTTTTGAAGTACCCTAACACTAATCCAGAAGGAAATAAAATCCAGCATTCATTAGGATTTGCTTTGTTTTGTACATCTATAACACTTTTAAAAAAAAAAACAGGGCAAGCAATCAATAATATTTTTCCCTATTATGGCAAAATTAGGCCATAATTCCAAGACTGCTTTTATCAGATTACTCTAAAGAACTGGGCAGGAATGTCTTCTTGGCTTTGTTTCTTTTGCAATCCTCTCTTCAGCAGATCTCAAGGTTTTCCAATCTGTATTGCAGATGAGTTGGATTACTAGCTTTCAAACTCCCTCGCCCTGGGAGAGGAGTTATGGGGTTTCCAGTCCAAAACATGTGGAAGTTGCCAGGAAAGGCATCTTTAGTCTATTCATGTAACCCTCCCTCTCCACCGCAATTCATGTTTATGTCTTAAATCAATGTGCACTGATTCAGGGTTTATTTTGAGTGTATCTGTCCCTTCCTGGCCTGCAAACCTTATTTTAGTTCCCAAGACTGAAGGAGGAAAAAGAGTAAAAAAGACAATCAATCAACAAAACTTCACCCATATTTAAAAAACAATTTTCAAAGTGGTTAATGGAAGGCAGCCTTTTTAATTTTTTTAATTTATTTCTTTTATTTCAATTTTATTTCACTTTTACCAATCTTGCTTTTTTTTTTTTAGTCTCACCTGGAAGGACACAGTGTCAGACAGGTAAATAATGTGAGGAATTTCCAGCATACCTCTCATTTTTCTTCTGTGAAATACAGGTAGTCTTCAACTTATAACAGTTCATTTAGTGACCATTCAAAGTTACAACGGCATTGAAAAAAGATTGTTAAGTGTGATCATTTTTCACAACCTTTGTAGCATCCCCATGCTCATGTGATCAAAATTCAGATTGCTTGGCAACTGATTCATACTTATGATTGTTGCTATGTCCCAAGATCATATGATCACCTTTTGACAAGCAAAATCAATTGGGAAGCCAGAGTCACTTAACAAGTGTATTATTAATTCATCAGCTGCAGTGATTCGCTTAACAACTGTGGTAGTAAAATGGGGCAAAATTCACTTAACAAATGTCTTACTTAACAGCAGAAATTTTGGGCTCAGTTGTGTTTGTAAGCCGAGGACTACCTGTAAAAGGATTTTTGCTTAGCTTGGCCCAGACTGCCAAATGTACAATCCCAGTTCTCCAGTGGGAAAATGGATTCCCATTGAAATACTTGGTCGGCACAGATGGAGTGGCGGGAACTCAGTAAAGGTGGTAATGGGGAAGCTGCTGTTTGCCTCTGGTCTGGCGTCAATATTAGGTTTAGACTCAGGAAATAACTGCCAGTATGAAGAAAAGCATTTCTCAAAATGAAAAACGGAGAAAAAATTGAAAATAACTTTACTAGAATGTAAAGTGAACAAGGAAAATTTAAATCAGGGTTTTTCCCCCAGTCAGGTGCTTTCTAGAAGAGTTGACTGAGAATTCTGAGAATTGGAACCCAATTTGTTTGTGGTTTTTCATCTGGAACAAAGACTCACTGAGACACTTCTTAACATATGTTAGAGGTTGCAGCCTTACTGATTTACTGGTACACTGTCATTCTCAATACAGCAACATGCAACAGAAAGGCTTTCTTTACATAATCCTAAGTCATGTTTGGAATCTTTTGGCACCTTCATGTGCTGTAATGATATATTTACTTATTAGGGAGTAAACCACATTGAAATTATGGAATTTTCTTCTAAATAGTCATGGACATTACATTTGGCTACAGAATATGCAATCAGTGAAGCTGGCCATAGAAAAGGAAGCATATGCAGATCAGCAAATCAGCTCTCAAGCCATCTTCAGCAAACTGGTGCCTTCCAGATGTGTTGGACAAATTCCCAGAATTCCCAGCCAACATTAATAAAACACAAAGGTCATACTGGCTGAAAAATTTGCTAGTTGAATAGTCCGCGATTGGGGAAGATTG